CACACACACACACACACACACACACACACACACACACACACACACGCTTCCAGGTCTTACACCCTCATTATGTTGCAAAGGAGTTACTGCACTTTTACATGTATTTCAAGAGTTAAAGAACAACATCAGTTGGTGAAAGTGATTTTGCTAAGCAAAGCTTTCCTTTTTTTGCCATAATGAAGTAGGTATTCAGGTGCCTGTTTTGGATATTTTTCATGAAACAGAAAAAAATGAAATTAGGATATAGGAGTTTGATGATTAGAAAAATACTACATAACGGGAAAAAATGAAAGTCATGTTGTAACCTTACAGTAAGAGGTTAATCCCAGTTTATAATTGTATGTGTTGTAACAGACAGTTGGAAGACATTTCTTTATATTTCCTTTCCTTTTTTTACACTTTCGTCTTGGCATTTTCTTTCTGTTCTCTTATTTCTGTTTCTAATGTTCGTACCTTTTAATTTTAAAAACTCTATTTGTAAATTATTTGTAAAAGTAATTCAGTAATATGACTACCAAGCTGTCTTTTTTTTTTAACAAAGAAAGCTCCCGATTTTTCAGAATCTGTCTGGTAAAAACTCCTTACTCGTTGTTTTTCCTGCTGTCTTACAGAAGTCGTCCTTCGTACCTCGATGCTGGACCCCGAAAACCATCCGTGCTGTGGAACGCAATGATTCGCCCTTTCATCAACATGACTATCCAAGGAGTTATATGGTATCAAGGTATGTTTGAGTACCAGTGCAAGATTGGACTGGAATGATGCTCCCCCTGCTAATGCATTGGACCTTTGTCTACTGCAGGGGAAGCCAACACTCTTATCAACACTGACATGTACAATTGCACCTTCCCTGCACTCATTGACAACTGGCGAAAAGCCTTTCATGAAGGATCCGATGGTCAAACCAACCAGCAGTTTCCCTTTGGCTTCGTTCAGGTAAGTGTATGATGCAAATGCACTCCTGGGCAGGTTATTTGGGCTCATTTCAATCTGTCCCTTTAAATCAGTGGTAGTCAACCTGGTCCCTACCGCCCACTAGTGGGCGTTCCAGCTTTCATGGTGG